AAAAAAAATTATTTTAATTTTAAGCATGTGCGGTATTACATGAAAAACGTACCGCAAATTGATTTTGTTTGTGATTGGTAACAAGTGCACAATTCCGCTAATACTAATGCAAATACGCCCCGCACTTTCCTCCCCATTCATTATCTAAGTATGGCGGTTTACCAGCTTATTTTAAATTGGTTCTTTCAGGACAAAGAAAAAGAAAGAAAAATCGAAATTGGTGAATAAAAGTAAACAAAAAACTGAAAGGAGCTAGTGTTATCAACTGGATGTAGTTAGAAAAGGTCATATATAGGTTTGGAGAATAGTAGGGCCAGGGGGGGGGGGGTCATTGGAGGGTGCCTTCAATGCTGCTGCAAAGCTTACCATGCCTTAGATGGTATGGTTCCAAATAAAGGACCGTCCACTGCCAAGGCTTCGTGATTATGATGGAATTTTTAGGGTTTGTAATGGTTTCAAGACTTGCTAATTCAGTGACTCATGAAAATGTGAAATACTCAAGAGATCATACGATGGACCCAGAGGAGAATTTGCGGCATATTGACCAAAGTACGTGAATGTAGATATTTCCCTATTAAATATAAGGGTAAGAATATGGTTCACATTAGGGTTCTGTTGGGTAAGTCGGGGTTTTATTCATACATATGGAGACTCGATAGAGATGAAAAGGTCGGTTGTGTGCGAATGCCTCAATTGCATTGGCTTAATAGAAAGGGACTTGGTGTGTTTTAGGTGCTTTCAGTACCATATGCTACAATGGAGAGGAGATTAGTGGCCCAAAACATTATGATTGCACCATAATTCCGTTCAATTATATGCCAAACATATGTGGGATGAATTATTTGACCTTCTTCTTAGACGCTGGTTTGCTATTCAGCACCTCTAGTAGTTTTCAGTTATTCTTTACAGCATTATGTTTATTTTTCTTAAATCAAAATTTTCTGTTTTTTTTCCCTTTCATGTCACTAATTTATTTTCGTTGAATAAAAATAACAAGGCAACAACAAAACGTTAAAACAATTAATATTAATCTCATACTAGATTTCGACCCGCACAACCGTGCGGGTATTTTAATTCAAAAATATTTGAAATTATATAATAAAATTTATCAATAAATAAATATAATTTGAGTTTGTATGTTATCCAATTTTATAATAATTTTTATATGACTTATAATATTATTAATATAAAATTTATAAATTTGTATTTTTGTAACAATTTTTAAAAACATTATTATGTAAGATTACTAATTTATATATTTTTTACACAACAACACAAAGAAGAAAGTGTGACCCAATCAATTAAATGATAAACAAACTAGCACAATGATAGGGATTCATGCATCCATGTTGTACCAAAATTCTTCTTCAACTTGTCATTAATAAAAATGAAAAGCGACTAGTTGACGTTCTCCAAACGTTCATGCACGTCTCATATTAACAACTTGTTGACATTCCTCCACGATTTAGTTGGATGGAGTCCAAAACTAAACAAATTGCAGAGCTGGATTTAGAGAAACACTTCGCTATATAAACTCATGATCCATTCATTACAACACAAACCAAAACAAGAAATATTAACCAACCTAAACGTTGGTAGAAAGAAAAAAGAAAATCACAATGAGATCTTCCTCCAGGATGGGGCCTTCAGCCCATCTCACTTACGCTCTAGGCGTTATCATCATGGCAACAATGGTTGCTGCTTATGAACCATACAGCTTGCCACCACTCCCGTCATATTCACCATCTCCAAAGGTAGAATACAACACTCCCCCGCTACCATATATCCACAGTTCCTCACCACCGCCACCAGTATACTATTCTCCATCACCAAAGGTCGACTACAAATCACCTCCTCCACCGTATGTCTACAGTTCCCCACCACCACCATACTACTCTCCATCACCTAAAGTTGACTACAAATCTCCCCCACCGCCATATGTCTACAGTTCTCCACCACCACCACCATATTACTCACCATCTCCTAAAATTGAGTACAAGTCCCCTCCACCACCATATGTATACAGTTCTCCACCTCCACCACCGTACTACTCACCATCTCCTAAGGTTGAATACAAGTCTCCTCCACCACCATATGTTTACAGCTCCCCACCACCACCACCATACTACTCACCATCTCCTAAGGTTGAATACAAGTCTCCTCCACCACCATATGTTTACAGCTCCCCACCACCACCACCATACTACTCACCATCTCCTAAAGTTGAATACAAATCTCCTCCACCACCATATGTTTACAGTTCTCCACCACCACCTCCATACTACTCACCATCACCAAAGGTAGACTACAAGTCTCCTCCACCACCATATGTCTACAGCTCACCACCACCACCATACTATTCTCCATCTCCTAAGGTAGATTACAAGTCTCCTCCACCACCATATGTATACAGTTCCCCACCACCACCATATGTCTACAGCTCTCCACCACCACCATATTACTCACCATCCCCTAAGGTTGTATACAAGTCTCCTCCTCCACCATATGTTTACAGCTCACCACCACCACCATACTATTCTCCATCTCCGAATGTAGATTACAAGTCTCCTCCTCCACCATATG